TAGGTAATCTATGCATCCTCGCGCGATGGTTTCTCGACGTGTGCCGCGTTGTTCTTCCCCCTACTATGCCTTGTTACAGCTCTCGGGCCCGCATAGCGAATATATTCAGTTTACCAAGACACGACGCACTCAATTCCCGGTCTTTGTGCTAGAGCCAGCAGCAGGTTGCCAGGTGAGACGGCCGGACTTTCTGAAAGGAAGGGCTTTCGGTCTGGTTGGACATTTGAAGGTGGAGGGAATCTGTACACCAGTGATTCTGATTAAAGTAGAGAAGCCGCCAGCTTCAAGTTGCAGTAGGGTCGCTCGTAAGACAAACCCCAATAATAATTTGACATATAACCTATTTTAAGAGGGCTTATCCGAGGTCGGACTGAGGGAATCGAGTACAGAGAATCGCGATTCGGGTGGGCGGTGCTCCTCCAGACTCGCACCGGCGATTCGACGCGATTCTGCCAGAATCGCGGATTCCCCCCTCTCGAATCGTCTCCCGAATCGTTCCCTCGAATCGTCCACCGAACCGCCATCTTTGACTACCCCTAATGACATATGAACGTAGCGCTGCCCAGCAAGTTTTGATCCAAGTGTGAATTTCCAAAGCCAACGCCCACACGGCCATATTACTTATTATTGCGATTTTCGATCGCTCCCGCTCGGAATTTCCGCCTTGATTTGCCCAGCAATTGCCATCAAATGCTCCGTGATGAAGGGCACCACCAACCATCCTGCGAGCGTTGTTACAGCGACGATAGCAAGAATAGTAGGGACCACGGAGGTCGGAAGGACGCCAAGGTATAAAGGCTCGACGGCCACCATGAACGAAACCGGATCCAAGGTGAGGTGTCGGTGCGCATGAGACGGGGTCAGGACGCCTGAACTGATCACGCGAATACGTGCGTATGTCCGCCGTGTTAGTGCGCCTCCTGGCATGGCCATGTTGCGGCCGTAGACGAGTTGACCCAAAGACTCTGGGGAGTAAGTGTTGAGGTAAAAGTCGGCGGGAGACTAGACAAGCATCAGCTTTACCTAACTTCCTTCGACGAATCGAGGGGACTCACTGAGGCGGGCCACGAGACCCGCAAAGTGAACTTCGAGTATGCTGCCCAAGCTGGGTCTTCAGTACCGATAGATAGCCAGAGCTCATGTGGACAGTCCCCGAACGAGCTCTCTGCTTCGGGCTCACACACATCCTCCAGTGCGGTACCGAGAGGTGCGGGAAAGACGTTGAATAGCTGTTCGGGTTCATTCGGGGAGAGCCTTCGCCTGTAGTACAAGATAACTCAGTGCGCGATCGATAAGGTGGTACTCCGCGTTTACCAGGCGGGCGACTGAGGCAGCGGCACGTCTACGCTAGGTGCCACGCCGAAGTTGACGATCTCGGTATTGGCTGATACCAGCAGCGACTGACCCATGCAAAACGCGAGCGTAGATAGCAGTATCTCGTTCGGAAGGCGCATTTTCCGAGATCAGCTGTCGTCTCTCAGACTGCCTGATAGTAATGTGTAGAGAAGACGAGCGGCTGCTCCGAGTCGGGCACGCGCCAAGTGCGCGTCGATCCGCCCAGGCTCCAAAGAAGGAAGGCGTTTAAGTTCGAGTGTGGCACCTGGCCCGTGCACTGGAGCAGCCTGGTCAGCTGCCCTTCCCATCCGTTCGCTGCCTACCCTTCTCATATATAATACGACGTCGCGACATCCTCGTCGTCTTCCTTGCTATCCGTTTCAGTTTGAGCTCACAAGATTCCCACTCTTGCCCGCATACATATCGTGCATACGTACGACGATGGCAGAGACGCTCGCGCAACACTCCCCGGCCAGTAAGCAGCAGTCCTCTATCTACACATCACCGTTGGCGACGCATATAACGTCGGAGCGTGCAGTGAAAGTGGGCGGTCGGAGGCTCTCCATAAGTTCCCGCTCGAAGCCAGCGGCTCCCACTGCGTACGTCATACACCTGCCTCGTTGGGCATTGATTGATGTCGCGCGATACAGCGACACCCGGAAGACCAGTCCCCCTGCAGCTGACACTGCTCCCGACTACCCGCGCCCAGCCGCGCCGGGTGAACAGCAGGAGCTCCACCAACAGCAGCAAGAGGAGGACGTTCCCAAGAAGAAGCAGGGCACTGGGGGCGACGAGCACGAGCGCCGCATCCAGGAAAGCCTTTACCGCAAGGCGGAGCAGAACAGACCTAAGAAAGAATTCTTGAATGGTCCCAAGACGACGCAGAGAGTCAATCAGCCGGCAGGGAAGAGCTTCGGTATTTGAGTAGCCTTCTGCGACGACGCGTTGGATGAGAGATGCAACGGAGGAGATGACCATCATCGCAATGTACGAATTGAGATGCCGGAGACATATGCATGTATGATTACCATGTACGATTTGGGCGCAACACATTGATGAGATTCACGCCAGCATGAAACCTCGTTGGCTTGATGATGAGCAAAGTGAGGGTGGGCATGCGTGGACGCAAGCAGCATATGATTATTTGGTCGTGCGTGCATAGACATATGCATGGTAAGCGGGTGCGATGTGAGTGGAAAGCAAACAATACAAGTGGTCGTCACAGATAACAAGACAGCATCAGTCCTTCACGCAACTTGTGCCTTCTTGCCACGAGCCTTCTTGGGGGGCGCGGCCTTCTTTTCCTTCTTCGAGGCGAGGAGAGCAGAGACGCGCGCGAGGGCAGCCTAGGGTGTCCAGTGTAGTTAGTATGCCATCTACGAGACCGTGTGCAGAATGGGAAAGGACAGAGCGAGAGCGAAACGGAAGAAGCGCAGGAATGTGAGCGCCAAAGAGTCAGGCAATCCGCGGCGAGCATCGAACGGAACCCGATAGCGACATGGCGCGTATCCAGCAGGGATTTGATCGGTCCCTCACCGAACCTCGCAATCTTGCACAACATGTCCACACCCAACTTTCGTGTTGCCTTGCGGCGGTCCAGCGGGCTCTAGGTGGTGCGACTTCAAAGGTAGGTTGGCGGTCGAACAGGAACGATATCTCGTCGGTTGAGTGGAGAATGTGACAGAAAGCCAATTGCGCGCGAAGAACGGTCCGAAAGACACAATCATGACACTCACGGCTCTGAGGTCAGGGCGGTAGCCGCGCTTGGCAAGCTTCGCCGTGATACCAGCCGCACGGCGGCCGCCTGAACGGGAGCGAATAGTGGTGGTGACAAGTGCAGGGCGGACCGCGTTGGGAGCAGCACCTTTCTTACGGTAAGTCAGCTTGATGCCAGACTCAGAGTCCGTGACGGCGATGGCCTAGAGGAAGAATTGATGCTTAGAGCAAATCGCCAGAGATTCCCTGTGGCAGTACCTGCCTTCTCGTTTGCAAGACCAGAGTACTTGTGCGAGTGGATATTCGTCAAGTTGCCCTGGACAGGAAGAACTCAGCTGGTTGTGTAGACTCAACACGGGTGATTGACATACAGGCTCCCGGGAGAGGATAGGGCCCTCGGGGAGGCGCTTGACGGTGAAAGCATTACCGTTCTGTGAACCCGACCGTGCGAATAAGTCAGTATATAGGCTCGCTCGACAGACGACAACGGAGCACGAACGCGGAGAAGGAGCCACTGGAGGTCGCCGGACATTTTGAGGACTGTGCTGTACGCTACTTTTGGTGGGGGCGGGAACGTCGGTAGTGGTGGCTTGGAGGAACTGTGTAGCACCAAATTAAACTCCGCCAAGCACTCAGCCCTCTGTTGGCGCCCGGACCTGGCCGCCACGCGAACACATCCTCTCTCCATCTAGCCTCATTGTTTTCCAACATGAAGTGCCGGCTTCAATGAGATCAGATTATCTACTCAACATTGATTCAGTAGTTTACGAAGCCGCATATGGACGGACTGATACTCGGTTTATCACAGCGGGTCTCACGCGAGAGTCTCCTATGTACTTCAGTCACAGAGGCATCTATGCAGCAGGGATGCAATGATGTAGACAGACCCTTGAGGCTGGGTCTGCATCGCCGTGTCCGCTCAACCTCCGATCGAGGACTCAGCAGCACTGCCGGTGGACAGACAGTATAATTGATCAAAGCTCCATGATGCGTGATCACTGTAATTGCAGACGGAGAGCAAGGTGTGACTAGTTGACTTCAGACTCGAGGTACAGAACCCAGACCTTTGGACGATGCATATGTCGCGCCAACATTGGATGACTCAGCCGATGTCTTCGCCGTCCTCATCTCCATTGCGCTACTCCCTGGGAGTCTAGCATACGCAGCGACAACAAGGGGAGACTGCTCTGACCCCTCAGACCCAGTGAAAACCCCGTCTATTGCCAACGATTGCTGCCTATTGCCATCTAATGCCGTCTTTTCTGAGCGATTTGGATGACAGCTCGGCGTCTAAAGCGGCTCGATTCATATATCGATTGGCTCGTTTTATATATACAATGGACCATTTGACGTCGATCGAAAGTATCAAACGGGTCTTCGACGTATATACTACTAGTACCGCTCAGAATTGGCTGGATCTCGGAGCCGCCCGTATCTCGTACCTCCGGATTTTGAGTCACGTCCCCCAAGACGCCGTGCATCCGTTACTGATGCGTCACGTCTCTTAACAGGCAGGCCTCACGAGTGCACGCTGACCATCGCCAACCGCCGCAACGCGTGTGCTTGCATTAGGAGTATATCTCTTTCAGAAGCCGTCGGTCTCCTCGAGCCTAGCTATATATAAAAATGCCGCAAGGCGATATATCAAGTAGCCTAAGGCGGACTACCGCTGGAGTTTCACGATATAATTCATTTATGCCTCCCATCTCGGCGACTCTAGC